GTATGAATTAGCTCTGAATGTGACATGCTTGATAATGTGAATCATTCAATGTACTTCTGTGTTGAATCATTTAGTAATGTTATATCTTGTTTATTTCTTAAAAATAATTATATTTAATATTATAAATACAATTTATGATATTAATAATCTTAAAAAGTTATTTTTTTATTTACATCTTGTATCAATTTTATTGATCATAAAAAATTTTTCTTTAATTTTATTTAACCGTCGACGGTGACAACTGTTTTAATGCTAGTTGTCGTCCGTCGATTATCTTTTTTATTTATTTTTTTAATAAAATAAAAATTGTGTATTTGTGATATGTTCTCTGTCTTTGAGATACTTTTTTCTGTACCTTTTGGTAGCTTAAGTTTTTTCGATGTTAATTTTGTTTATATTTTTTTCACAGAGTTGAATTTGATATCGTCACGACTGATCAAGATGTCACTTATTTGTTATCATGTTGATCTTCCCTATTTGAACCATCGAATTGATTTAGATATGCATTTTGCGCTCGTTGATAGCTTTCTCACGTCGCTTGAGTTTGATTTGCGATTTATCGATAGTCTTTCAGTAGTTTAATCATCTTTTGTGGTTCGTTTGTAGATACACTCAGATTTGTTCGTATCTTTATTTTATTCGAACATTGATTAAGTTTTTTTAAACCTTTTCCATTTATAGCCCTTATGTGATGAGGACTTGTTTTTATGTTAATGATTATAAAAAAAATCATAATTATAATTTAGTTTGCGTTTATAGATATATTCATAAATTTTTATTATAATTCTAAAAATTTTTTATTTTTAATAAAACTAACGAATTTATATAAAAAGAATCAATAATCTTGAAAAACATGGTAATGTAATCGCCACGCTTCTTTTCATTACAGCCATATTTGTTCTGTGATCTTAATTATATACTTGGAAGTCAATCAAACCATGTTTATTAGAATCGAGTACTAATTATAGTGATTAAGTTGGAAAATGGATATAATAGTATTGTGGCGGTCCCTTGTTCACATATATAATAAGATAAGGGGAGGTAAGATAGTAGACTATCTCTAACATCATGTTGAGAGCAATTTTCGTAAAGACCTTCGAATTATGAAATACCCTTCGTAAAACTCGATCTTACAACCTCAAAATTAAGAACTTTGTGCTCTACCATCTCGATATAATAGCATTGTAATATGTGTAATTGGTAAGTGGCCATCATAGTCAGGCAGCTGGTGATGAAGCGTTAACACTGCCGGTATTTTGCTGCGATCTGTCAAGCAAAAGATGTAGTAATTGATCCAGTTGCAGATGTAGGCCCCATTTTCTATTTAAATTCTTTATTTATTTTGCAACTTACAGTCTGTTTCTGATGGATTTGTCTCAATTTTTTCCATCGCCACGTCAATGTAAGGCATTATTATATAAAAAATATCAAAATAATAATTTATTAAAATAGTATCCATCAAACAATATTAATTAAAAAAATATACTTAAACTGCATACGTAAGATTACATCGCATTTTTTAAAACGTGTTTAAAGGCCTCACGTTTTATAAAACGCGAGACTCTTCTAACTTAGAAATACCTTTTAGAGAATACAATTTAATAATTTTAAAAAAAACATTGTATTCTGATTAACACGAGGTCTCCAATAATTTGAAGCATCGTCGAGATTTGAAGAACCGTGTCTTTTGAACAAACCTGGTTGATTGAGATCAAGTCTGTAATAATAAAAAATCAAACTATTTTATGAAATTAAATTAATCATTATATTTTTTTAAAGTATATAAAAAATAACAAAAAATAAAACTTATTAAAATTAAAATTTATTCTAACGTGACATGTTAAAAAAAAGTTGTTTCGTGGTTCCAAAAATAATAATCATAACAAATACATAAGTTGTTCCTTGGTTGCCAAACTTGGTCGATTGAATTACGCAGACAGTTGTTATCACAATTGTAGTTTTCGAGTTAGTTCTAGAATTTTAAGGTTGTGATGAGTCCATGACATTAAACTTACAAACGGATTAATCTTCTGACAAATAACTTTTAACTTTATTTTCTTAGACTTGACGAGATCGAGAGCTTTCACGATGCAAAGTCTTTCATCTCTTAATTCACCATCAGAACAAATTATAATAAGACCATAAACATATATGGCGTTGACATTACCTTTATCGGTTGTGTTCTTTAAACAATGCAGATCGAACTTTAAATTTCTTCCTCTAAAATAATTATACATATCATATCTATATAATACTTCGTGTTTATTAAAAGCTTTGCATCTTTCTTGAAATCTTATATTAGTTTGAGTCCACGGAATAATGTAAAAATTCTTCATTGAAATGTTTTGAAAAATGTAATTGTAGTCCGAAACTTCATGAGAAGCCTTACAACTCAAATGCGTATTGACGAAATTGCTGATAGAATTAGACATCACATGCACAATAATTTTGGATAACACTTGTGTTGGGAATAACTCCACAATTTCACTAATTTTTTTTTTCGTTTTTTTTTAATATGTCTAGAAAACCTTCCAAATGAGCCCCTATTTATAATAGTCCTTGCACATTTTCTGAAGCGAGAAATCGATGGACCTCGTGATATACAACACTTTAGATATGTTGTAAAGACGCGTACTACAACAAAATGGGTCTCTAATGACATTTATAGCAACATTTTTAAAGAAAACATCATTAATTTTGAACATAACACGACGTTTAAAGATAAAACGCCACAAAATAAAACTATAAGCGGCGATTATAGGGTAGCGCCACAATATTCATCAACCTTTACTGGCGTTGTTAGCGAAAAAACACCACAATATAAGAATATAAAGCGACATTTGTGGTTAAATGCCACTACCTCGCGTACTTTAGTGGCTTTTTGTAGAAAACGTCTTAATTTCACTATACGTTAGTAGTTTTTTTAGGAAATGCCGCAATTGTTCAGTCATTGAACAAAACCTGGTTCCAAATCCCTAATATTTTTTTCATTGCCTTTTTTTTCTAATATCCTATACTAACGAACAGCTATAACAGTCGAGCCACCACTGCGCAGCCTCACGTCGCCGTTGCCAACTTCCTGTATGTCTCTCTTCATGCGTGTGGTTTGAGCAGAGCAAGAAAAGTGTGTATCGATGTTGTGCAAGTTTCTCATTGCACTCTGTTCGAAAGAGTTTACTACAAAATTGATTCGGGGAAGATGGGCAGTTGTGCTTCATATCCATCTTTGATTCTTTTCCACAATCATCTTCCCCATATACCAAGTTCTTTATTTCCAAAATATTTTTTTCATCATGTTATAGATGCCTTCCGGTTCCTATGAATTTTGCATCTAAATTTATTTATTTAATCACGAATTTAGTTAATAATGTATCTTGTGAAAAGCCTATGTGAAAGTCTACGTTAACTCTAGTGAAATGCTTGAAGTGGACCTGACAAGATCACATAAAACGAATGCCGACATGAATAAGCAATTTATTAATTGGAAAAGAAAACATTCACAGGAAGAATTTGCGCAAGCACTCTGTTATACATATATGGCTTTGTTTGTAACAAAGTGAACAACGCTAGACTGTTGCTCAACTTCGAATTCTCCTGATAATTCCCACGGCAAACAAATTAACAAGACAAGACTTGTGAAACTTGGGATTTCTCTATCAAAATTCCAAAGTTTCATCAACTTGATGAGTTGTTCATTTGAACTTCACTCCTGCTGTTTCTCTATAAACATTTGACTTAGAACATGTATGATATAGGAACCAACACTTCACTCAAGCTTTATGTAACTTGAGAAAGGATTACTCTTACACATACAAATTGGTATGTAATCCATTATTCCAAGTATCTTAATTCCGTGTTAATAAATCTCTTATATATTATAGTAAAGATTATATTTAGTTATTTACTTTTCTGTATAGTATTAGGAATTAACATTTGAAATGAATATTCCAGAAATATAAAATGGATAAGAGTTGATGGATTTGTCAAGGGTAAGCGACGAGTATCGAAATTGAGTAGCAACTTTTTTAAATTTAGATTTTTTTTTGTAAATGCAAGCCAGAAGAATATGATTCTTTGCCTTTTTAAGAAGTGTGTTAACATTAATTGACACATTCGTGAAGTTGTCTACAAACATCTAATTGTTTTTGACCTTGTTTAGGGCTATAAAAATGGATATTCCATTGAGAGTGTACATCTCATTGATCTTCTACCTTGAGTAATCTTCTTAATTTTTATCATCGATCTGTTAGAGAAGATGGCATGGAAGGTATACATTTAATATCCACAATCATCATCAATTTATTAGAGAAGATGTGTAACATCCCAAAAGATGGGTCAGTGACTTAAATGCAAATTTTGAAAACTTAATGCTCAATTTTGAAATAAGTTAAAAGTTCAGAGATTTAATTGGAGAATTTGATGTTGAATTTAATAATGAAGTTTGAAAATAATAAGGGTAGTATGGTCATTTTGCAAGGAAGATTTTTATAATTCCTTTATAAGGAATTAACTCACGTGGAAGAGGAAAGAAAGGCCAAGTTGATTCCAGAGTTTTCTTCTTCTCCCTTTTTCTTCCTCATACGTGAGAGCTCAAATAAAAGGTAAGTTTTCTAGGTAATTGATTATTTGTTGATTTTAAGAGAAGGTTTTGAACCTTAGGTGATACTTAAGCTTAAGGAAATCTTAAGCCATCTTAAAATCAAATAATGAAGAAGTTACGAGAGATTAAATAAAAGGAGTTTTTAAGTGAATTATTGAAATAGAAGGTTTAAATAAATTTGGAAGTCGAATTTGACTTGTAATCTATGAGATAAGAAGTTATAAGAATTAGAATTAAGTTTTGATAACATGGAAAATGTGGTAAGATTCTTGGTTTTAAGGATTTGGGAAATATATGGAAGAAAATAAGGTGTTGGAATGATAGAAGTTGGTTAAAGTGATCATAGTTAAGTTTGGTAGCATAATTAGGGCTTAATACTGGAAAATTGGGTGAAGTGTTGATAATTTTCGGGTAAAAACAACCTATTATGAGAAGGTGCATCGATGCACTATGAATGTGTACCGATGCACTAAGAATAATTTTGAAGATGCATCGATGCACACTGGAAGGCATCGATGCATGGTAATTTCGAAGCTATTTTGTGTACTGATGCACCCATAGTGTATCGGTACACCCCTAAGGAAAAAATGAATTATGGTTCATTAAATTCGTTTAAGCTATCAATATTAAATTAAAAGTTTTATCTGATAATTGCCTTAAATCTTATATTTATGTAGATATCGAGCCTAGACCAGTTCCGGAACATTGGGTAAGTAAGATCGATCGAGGAATGATAAGAGATCAGTATTGACTAGTGAGGCCAGATGAGTGCTTATTAGTTATTATACGAGGTTTAATGGAACTAAGACTTGCGACAAGTCTAGTTCCTATATTAAATGCATGAATTTATGATTATATACATGTGTTTGATCTGAGTATCTGTGATATATGTTATGGTATGTGACATGATTTATGTGAATACATGTAGTGTGATAAGCCATATGAACTAATATGAAAGATCTATATGATTAAATGAGAATAATGATATCAGTGATAATATAATCATTGTTACAAGATATATGATATGAGCATAAGAGAATGTATGAACATGAAAGTTGTGAGTATGACTGAAATGTTAAATGTCTATATTAATATGTGGTAAAAGCTACATGATATAATGAATGTGAAAGATCGTAGTGTGAACAATATGACAAGAAGGGATAAGAGCAAACGTTTATGAGAAGACATAAGTGAATAATTATAAACTATGAAATCATATGAAAAGATCATACATGATATGTGATACAAAGTTATGCGATATGTAAGTGATCAATGTGTACTTGTGAATATGTGATAAAAATAAATGATTATGCCCATATAGAGAAATTGAGAGCTAGAGGTATAGTTGTCATGCCAAGAGTCGAGGGATTTACAGTGGTCCTTAGGGACATAGTGGCCATTCGGGACATAGTGGTCCTTCGGGACAAACATTCAGTGCCCCTAGTGGGAATTTATACGAGTTGTGGTGACAGCATTAGTGTACAACCTCAATAGACTCACATATCTTTAGTTCTCCACAGTGTACATGGGCCAATAAAGATATAATATAAATAAGAAGTAATATGATTTTTATATAATTGTGTAGTTGGACATGAGTATGGGTTGAATATATTGCATATGTTCATTATGTGAAATGCATTATATAAGTTATGTGATGATGTGTGTGTTGATTGATTAAAAAGACTATATATATGATTACATGAAGAATAACGAGGATAATGAGATTATAGGTATATATTGATATTTATTGTTGATGCATAATGTGTATTATAGTTGAATATGATTAGATGAAGTGTGCATAGTAGGAATGAGTGATGATATGTTATATTTAAGTTTATCTATGTCTTACTAAGTCATAAACCTAGCGTGTGAATGTTTCACATGTAGGATTCCAAGAAGTAAGAAGAGGAGCTAAGAGGAGCAAGACATATCATCCACTCATTTATAATGTTCAGATCAGAAAAAAGATTATGAATTATATGTATTTGGTTCTATTAGTTGACATCTACTAAAAGAGTTGTATTGAATATACTCTGATAAGTTTTGAAATACAAATCGTTTTAATTTTATGTAAAATAACGAATTTTATTTAATGAAAGTTAGATTTTCATGATTTTATACAAGAGACAAGTTTTAAAAGTCAATATGACATCTCAGACTCGTATCCGGATCGAGTACGGGTTGGGTGTTACAAGATGGTTGTAATATTGATGTTAGTGATTTCAGCCAGATGAAAAGAAGTGGATATTCCATGCAAAGAAGAGGATGTTAGTTGATTTCTTGAAAATAAATACCGTTTCCGTTATTGCCTTAATTTCGAAAAACAAAACAGTATTTTTTTTCGGACCGTTCATATTTTAGAGATATTTTTAATTAATCAATAATTAATTTTACTAAATAAATAAAAATAATTATTATAACTATAGTTGAGGCTAAGAACATTAGTTGCTTTAAGTAATTGCTTAAAGAAATCTTTGTAGATGCGCCACTCATTAATAAACAAGTACATGCATGAATCAAATTATTTTGATTGTTAAAAGATAGGTTGTTACCGGTATTTATATCATAGTGATTATGTATAGGGATGAGAAACGGGTGGGTCGGGTGTGGATATCCCCTCCTCATCCTCATCTACCAATATTTTTAAATCCACCACCACGCCCATCACTCATGATGGGTAAAATTTTTCAAATTACACTCGCCCACGCGAGTACATTCTCAAATCCATCCCCACACTCACTACCCAACTGGAGACGTACCGACTAAACCCGCCTGATAGCAACCTTAAGTTATACATAAGCAACAAACATAAAACAAACATATCCATTAAGAAACATAATAAAATAAACCAAGGATTATCCGAGTTAAGTGTTAACATAGATCTTAAAGTACATAAAACACCATAATAAAATACATAATTAAAGTCTAAAATATAAATGACAAATACATAATATTTTTGTTATTTGACACACATAAATGACAAACCCTAAAATTATACATAAATTTATAACAATCCAAAATTTAATAGGTATTTAGTGGGCGAGCGAATGCAGGGGCGGGCAGATACGTAGCGGGCGGATGCAGGGAGGGTAAGGTCTCAAACCTATCACCCCCCACTACCCGCGACGGGTACCACTTTCTAAATCTACACCCGCCCACTACCCACTAAAATTATAACCATCCCCGCTCCAATTGGAGAGGGTATGGTTTGAAATCTACAAAATTGTATCCATTTACCATCCCTAATGATGTATTCATTATTAAATGATTAAGATATTTAAAATAAATAATGTTCTTTAATCATTTAATAAAGAAAATATTCTGATTGTTACTGTTCAAATTTGAAACATCTAAAAATAACAATTATTCAATTAACAACTAAGATCATTTAGTTCATTATAAATTAATTATCCCTTTATCATCATTTAATCAAATAAAGACGTGTCATATTGAATTATTTTAAATAATTATAAAATATCATTTAATGATGATATGTTTACACAATCCAATCTTGAATACTAAAGTTGTAGTAATTGATATGTTTTCTTTTTCATTTATATAAAATATATTCTTAATGTTGTATTAATATCTGAATTTTTATTATGTAAAATTAAACTTCATAGATACTTTAAATATTTGATTAAACGAAAATACTTTAAT